CCCCAAAACCCCAAAACCCCAAAACCCCAAAACCCCGGCTGGAGGTATCCAAATTGAACTTATTTTCATTACTTATATCCTAAGTGTTTATACTTCTTCTCTAACAATGCTCTAGGATGGTCAGTGGGGTAAAATATGTTGTGGTTCTTGGTTAAGCCAGCCTTTTTAAGGAAATCTAATTCCTGCCTGAGCCTTTGGTCAATATTTTGGTTCTTATCTATCTTACGTCCTTGAGACATTTTCAGGGACTTTGTTGGCTTCATTGTGTTATTTCTGATTAACTCTGAACCCTTCTCTACAAAAATGATTGGCTTAACATTTTAATAGTTAATGTAATTCTACTTACTATCTAAACCTTTAGATTGATTTCTGGATAAACTTCGATTCTTCTTCGCAATCTTGATGTTTTGGTAAGGACTAAAGTTGAAAAGGAAGGAATTACTTAAAATCATTTTTAGGCCTAGTAGATTTTCGATTTTCTTTAAAATTTACACAACATAAGCTTTTAATGCATCTTTCTCCAAGATTCCAGAGATCTTGGTCATGTATGATGTTTTTATAACTTGAAACTTTACGGAACTCACAAATTTTATTTGAGAAAACCTCTGAATTCAGGAGTAATATTGAAAAAGTCTCCATCAAGCTGCTTATTTGAGATCGCTTACAGTGGTGATATTGGAGCTAGACATCCGTCTATGTTGGGTGAAACCAGGCTTACTTGACTTCTAGCATTTTTAATTCGTTAAAAGTAATCTCTTTGTTGATATACTTCTTAAGGTTTGCTTCTAATGCATTTATTCCAACAAGAAGAAATTATTTTTATGCTTCCTGTATTCAGAGTTTTCTCTGAGTTTTATCTGAATTTGTCACATTAAAAGTTACCTTAGCTTGGTGAAGCACACTAAGAGGCTCTGTCCTAGTCTGTTTTTCAAGCTCAAATTTAAGGAGACCTGAATCTATTTGAGAGATATCATGGTTATTATGGAAACCTTCAGGATCAGCACTTGCATATTTTCCAGGAGCCATAGAAATATTCTTTGCTTTACTTAAGTCTGTATACTCTGCCATCCTCTCTTTACTTCTCTTTTGAGGGGAATAAGAGTAATGAGACTTTACAGTTGGAGGAAGAGCTGTCATCCCTTTCAGGTCAATATTAATATCCCCTTTGTTGTCGGTGAATTTCAGATTAATAGATTTATTTGTGAATGCCTATTTTTAATTCGCAATTATTTACCTGGAGCTTGTTCATAATCTGCTCTTTTGTGGGTAATTTTCTTCTGAAATCTTTTCTTTTAAGGTTTCCTTTAAAAGACCTAACTTTGGGGATAATTTCAATTCTGCTATCCACTCTATTTCTGGACAGGAGAAGCAGTGTTAGCATCTCTTGTGTGCTGTTGAATTCTCCTGTTCTCAATAAAGAATCTATGATGAGTCTTATTTTATTCCGTTAGTATGTCTTTTGTTGGATTTTTCAATATTTCTAAAGCATTTTAGCATATCTACAGATAAGGATTATAGGTACCATGCTGGATTCCTGATAAAGAGGAGAAGTCAAATTTATCCCTGTCTAATATTGTTGCCCTGCTGATTGTTTTCATTAAAATTTATTTTCAATATATCTACAAGTTTCAGGGGTTTTGGGGTTTTGGGGTTTTGGGGTTTTGGGGTTTTGGGG